TTTTTGGGGGGGGGGGGGTTAGTGTTGGGTTTTCAAGGGGTTCTATTTTTGTTGGCTTTAGTTTTGGCTTTAAGGGATTCTATTTTTAGGGTTTGCGTAGGGATTCAAGGTTCAAGCCTTGATCTGAGCCTAAGCTGCAGATGGTATCAGAGTCTGTCGGCATGGTGAAAAAGGTCTGAATAAAAGCAATACTCCAAAACCTAAACCCTAAACCCTAAACCAATCAACACCGAAGCCTTCTCTAATTGCTATCTAGGCTTTTGCATCAAGCGCCCCCACGCTTTGCTTTGGGCCGCTGCCGGCTTGGGGTTTAGGGCTTCGGACTTGTGTCGGGGGTCTAGGAAAAGGAGAAGTAAAGAATTTGGAGCCTTTCAGAGGTAAATGCCTGTTGCACATTCAGATCTGGCTTTGGTGGTTTGAAGTTCAGCTTGAGCCCCGAACCCCTCCATGAAGTGCAAGCCGACTCTCTGCCATTGTAACTCCTCAATCCGAAGCACGGGCGCTTCCCCGCATCTCAAATATACAGCAAATTATATGTTTGTCCGGCATCTTGATCGCGAGTGGCCTAAGCATGTTTTAATCAGCCTAAACCCTGGCAGGACTCTACGACCTCGGCGTGTGCCACAAACCTCGGCCCAGACACGGTAATCCCGAAACAGCCAGGACTGTGGCAAGGCCGAGAGATTGCCTGGCGCATCAATGGCATGCTTCTTACCTTGCGCTCGATGAATCAGAGGGTTTGGAAACCCTGTTGGGATGTGTCCTAAGCTGTGGATCTCTGACAAGACCTGTTTTGAATTTATAAGAGCCTATCATCACAGTAGCTCGCAGCAGCATCATGATGCGGAGGTGAGGCTTCTGTACGCAAGCACCAGAAAAAGGCCGAAATCAATGCCCTTCACCCCAAAGCAAAAAGTCTGAAAACCCTAAATCCCCACAACCTGTCGATCTAGTGGAGACCACAATAAATCCGAACCATCCTAAGAGCCAGCGCCTGATTGCTGACAAAACAGCTAGCGATCGTAGGGACGCTAGTCTAGGAGGGCTCTAGCAAGCTCTATACCCATAGGGGCGCTAAGTAGTTCCTTTTTATGATTGATATTTAGAACGGCATAAGGTAATCCCAAAAAGGAACTACTTAGGGGCCTATGGGTAAGGACTCATTCTTTGAGGACAGTACCATACCTGGCCTTCGGGCCCTGTTGAGCCTTAGGGTTCCCTAAGGCTCCATGTGCCCATAGAGTAGATACTTATAGATCTTAAAGTACCTATATGGGGACCCCTTTGAAGGCAAAGTATCTACTATAAGGGTACATGGAGCCTTTGGGGTTTAATTGCACTAGCATTCACATCGCCCGCGGGTCTGAGGGTTATGGCTGGAATCTTTCGGCCAGAAAAAGTTCCAAGGTTATGTCCTCAGACTGAAGCAGTTCAAGTGAAGCTGCACAACAGCAAGCCAATCTGCAATCGCAATCTCAAGTGCCCAGAAAGAAGATCAGGGAACTTTCGACTTTCAATCTGTGAACCAGAATTGTCGAAACAGTTGCCCCAAGAGAGCGAGAGAGAGCGCTGCTACGCAACGTCAGGCGGACTCCGGGGGAGAACAGAACCCTAAACCGGGGGAGAACAGCACCCTAAACCCTAAACTTTCAACCACAGTTCTGCAAGCCTTTAAACCCTGAACATCCCTAACATATGACATCCCTTGCCGAGACCCGTAAACCCAACGCCTCATAGAACTCTTAAGGACCCCTGAAATCCATATTTTTGTTGGCCAGGCTGCTGCTGGGAACGTTGGGTCCCAGAGCCGCCGGGGTTGGCTCGCTATAGACCCAAGCTGGCTGTACCTGACCGTATGGGAGTTGCTGAGCAATTTCCTTACTTTCTGGGTCTCCTTTGAATTGAGTTCCGACAAGGGTTTTACATGGGTGTTTCCGAAAATAGGGGCCCCTAATATAGTAATATAGTACCCTAAATAGTAGGATCCTTCTTTTTCGGACCCCCAAAATAGGGTACCCCTAATTTTCGGAGACTCCCACATGCAGATAGGAGGTCTCTATGAATCAGGGATCCGTCTTTGTGGGTCCCAGCGCAAGGATTCCACTATCCATGAGAACCCTAAACCCCCCAAAAAATATCTCTGAATCTTCGGGACTTCGGGTCCCCTGACTGTCGGAAACTCCCAAGTCGAGGGGCTGGATACGGACGTGAACCCCAAGGCAGTGAGGAGGCATAAGGTTTAGGGCTTAAGAGGTTTTCCAAAAATAGCAAGAGCGGCTTAATAGTTCGAAGAGCGAGAGGGAGTACATTATAGTACAAGTTTTCTCCAGTAACCCATAAGAATTCAAGTGTCATGCTTTTCCCTTTTACAGCAGGCCTCGTTCATGCTTTTCCCTAAACCCTAAACCGCCAGGTTGTAGCATGGATATTTAAGAAACTCAGAGCGGCTTCGGGGGGAGGGGGGGAGGGTTAGGACTAAGGTTTTGTTTATTTGCTTTTTTCCCTCTCGCATAGCAGCTAAGGATCAAAGCCCACCATTTTTTGGGTTTAAGGTTGGGGCTTGTAGGGCTTTGGATCTCCAGGACAGGGTGTGTGTATATATATATATATAGATAGAGAAATGCCGATGTGCAATATCATATACATATATACATATATACGATACACGTATATGTACATATATACATATATAGATATACACATGTTTATACACATGAATATATAGCGAAAAGCTCCAAATACCAAGGCCGAGATGCCAGGGTTGGCAGGAGACCCAGCCTCGCCCAAGACCAGAACTCCGGGATGGAGCTGACGTTCTGCAAGCCCCTCCGGGTTTCTTTTTGGGGCTTTTGGGGGCTTTAGGGCTTTAGGGGTTTGGGGCTTTTGGGGTTTAGGGTTTTAGGGGTTTAGGGGTTTAGGGTTTTCGGTTCGGTCTCTTGGGGCTTTTGGGGTTTAGGGCTCTCGGGGCTTAGGTTTAGGAACACAGGTTTTGGGCCAAGTTTTGGGGTTCAGGGCCTGGGCTTAGGGGTCTAGGGTGTTTAGCATTGGGGCTAAAGGCTTCGTGACACACAGTACAGAGTGTATGGAGTTTTGTAAGGTGTCTCTGGGGTTTTATATTGCCCTCTTTACGGTTTTTGGGATTTTCGTCTGGAGGCTGCATGGGAGCACCTGGGTCTTCGCAACAAAAAAGCTCCCTTAGAAACCTGACAAAATGAAGCCCCTAAAGAAATAAACAGTCATAGCAAGGTCATGGCTTCGGCCTCTCGTCTAAATGCAAGATGTCAAGAGTCATGGCCTGTAGGGTTTAGGTTTTAGGGTTTAGGGTTAAAACATGCGTGCAAGTGCACCCCGAATGCATACCAACGACAATTTTTCATGTCCGCCCCCTAGACAGAAGCATTATAGGCTATAGGGGCTTTGATAATTAGAATAGGGTTTTGGAGCCCATTATACTATAACAGTACTAAAGGAACCCCAAAACTATGGTTAACCGGGATGATCCAATTATCGGAGCCCCCTTCCCCAATGGAACCCAACGAGTCGGGTACACCAAAGCATCAAGAACCATCGCCGTAATTCTTCGGGAAACTTAGCTTAATTCTTGGGAGAATTTAGAGCCCAAAGACATGAGTAGCTTTCCGTCGGGATTGGAGATGGAGAGGGCAAGTTTGACGCAGTGGTCGTATGGATGTTGTATGGGTTTTGACCCAGGCGCCTATACCCTGAACCCCCAACTCGCTAAACCCCTAAACCCTTAAACCCTAAACCCCTAAACCCTTAACCCTTAATCCCTAAAGGCCCTAAGGACCCTAAGCCAAAGGCTTCCAAGTCACCGGTGCCCGAAGGTCCCACTCCAGGCGAAGTTGGCGTTCTCCTCGATGTCTCGGTCATAGGCCTAGGAGAGGCAAGGGGCTTCGAGGTTAGAGGGTTTCAGGGTTTAGGGTTTAGGGTTCAGGGTTTCAAGAAAGGGTTTAGGGTTTATAGGGTTCAGGGTTTAGGGCTTAGGGTTTCAAGTTTAGGGTTTAGGGTTTTGGCTTTTGGGTTTAGTCTCTTCGCATAAGGCAGGTAAAGCACAACTGGCTAGCAAAGGGCAAGAAGTCCGCCCGAACCGTACTAGACTGGAGAAACCTGTGTACTTACAACCTACCGAGTGTGGTTACTTCGATAGTTCCGCAACAAAAGCACAAAAACGTAACCAAAACTGACACCCATCTTACTCACTTAGGCTCTACAACAAGACAAGCGCAAAGTGCAAGGTTGCAATTTGCAACCCACCAAACTCCAAGCGTTAGGCCCGTAGTTATCCTTAGGATCCGTCTTGCACATCCTTATGCTCCCGAAGCTTGAAGCGCGACGGGCCTAAGTTCTAAATCTACACGGATCTATCGCTCACATACACCCTCAAAACGGCGAACAACCTACAACACGACTCGAAAGCATCAAAACACTGGATACTTCGGACCTTTCAACCCCAAAGCCCGACCCCTCAAACCCTTCCGGCGCCCAAGCAGGAACCCAGAAATCCTGAAATCTTACAGAAATTATCCTTTGCAAGGTCTTGTGAACAACCTCTGCAGACTCTACAGTAGCCTGATGCGTTTTAGAAACTTCTTAACACAGCCGACTGCTCCCACCTCCTGCAGGGCGAACTCCACATCTTGCTGGAGCAAGCCCATGCTGAGCACCGTAAAGGACAGCAACAGCAGAATGGTCCAGGGCAGTTGGAGAAAGTTTTGCTCTGTGTCAATCTCCTGGGCGTTGGAGACGAGGTGTCACAGAAACTGACTTTTGTTGTGCTTCAGAAGGCTCTTGCCACTGACCGTGTGCATCGACTATGGCTATGGCAACGATTAACAAATTCCTTGGCAAGAAATCTCTAAAACCTCTATAGCCCCCAAGGAACTCATTATGCGAGTTTAGGGCTCCTAATATCATCTAAGGATACCGTCTGAGGTATCATTTCCGGGTTGAGGCCTGGAGGCTGTCTTCTCTGAGCTCAGACTCTGAGTTGCTTTGGAGGGGGAGCTTTGGGTTTAGGGGTTTAGGGGTTTAGGGTTTAGGGTTTAGGGTGCAGGGCAGGGTGTACTCCCTATACCCAGCGTTGCTTGAGGCCGTCAGGATTCTTGCGCTTTAGGATTTCCGGGGCTTCATAGAGGTCTCAATTTAAGGCAACACCCCAGAAGAATTCCATGAGGGCACTAAACTTCGATCTTTCGGCAGGTCACATTGCGTATGTAGTCGAGGTAGACATTCTGTGGGACACCCACGATGGTTGCAACTTCTGCATAGGATGTGACCTCGGCTTGCGAATCTTGTCGCACGGCGTGCAAGAAAACCACGGGAGAGCCAAATCAGTTCTAATGGCTTTTGTGGCTGCGTTGCGGGCACCCGATGAACGATACCCTAAACCCCTAAACCCCTAAACCCCTAAACCCCTAAACCCCTAAATCCTAAACCCCTAAACCCCTAAACAACGTCTAGCCTTGTTTTGAAGCTCGAGGCGCTGAGCTCCAGGTTTCCCAAAACCCTTCAGCGCCTTTGAAGGGGTCATCTGCAGCCCTTGCACTCCCAAAGGCTCCACAGGGCTTAGGGGTTTAGGGGTTTAGGGGTTTACGGGTTTAGGGTTGAGGGTCCATGTACCTTTATAGTAGATACTTTGGCTTTAAAGGGGTCCCTATATAGGTAAAATTTAAGGTCTAAGTATCTACTATATGGGCACATGGAGCCTTAGGGACTGTGCCCCAGTGTCACCCCCAAGACCCCCCTCCGGGCCTCCTGAACTGCCATGAGCTCTGAAAAAAACTCGGGATCTCCGAGCTCTATAACTTTAGGGTTTACGCTCTCACGACTCGGACTTTAGGGTTTAGGTAGGGTTTAGGGTTTTGATAGTACTAAAACATGATGATCTCCAGAAAGGATCCCGTTCAAGTCGCGGGGTTTCACCCAAGTCTCAAGGAGAACCCGGGCCTCAGACTTCAGACGAGCCGCTTTTTGGCTGTTTAGGCGGTCGACTGCCTTTTTGACAGCCTGAACTGCAGCAGGTAGTTGCTGGCAGGTACGCATCATAGGGCTCTGGCTTCGCAGCAACGGCTTTGAAACACTTTGGTTGCCTGCTCGGGGGGTGTTTAGTTTGGCCTCGGATGTTCAGTTTTGGGCGATGCCTTTCGGGTGGGAGGGCAGGTTCCAACGAATCGGGGAGGACAATAAGCAGGGATAAGGTTCTTTCATGTTCTTTGTGGCCTCTATGCGCTCTTATAGGTTCCTTGCCCTGGGAATGTCCCAAGTACAAGCAGTCCCTGCACTCTCCGACTTAAGGCAATGGAAGCCTTTTGATTGTTGCGATTGGGTTGACACCTCTGGCAGCCCTCAATGACAAAAGCCTGGCAAGATGCACCCTGAATTCAACAGATGTTGATCCTGTGTGGATAATGTTTCCGCAGCAATCCGGTATTCTATTCTACCATGTTCCTATACTGTTGTGTTGTATTATATCATAAAGACATCATAGTGTACCATCTTGTGCTTTACTATGATGCCTTATTATACCGTATGTTTTACTCTATGTTTTACTTTATTGCAAACATGTTATGTGATTTTTAGCGGTAAAAGATTTTTCATTTTGGCGTGCTATGCTTAACTTTGGGTCATATTATACCATATTATGCTGCTATATCATCTTATGTTGTATTACAGTATACTGTACTGCATTAGATCAAAATGTAATATGATGTACTACATTGCGTCAGTATAGTATACAGTTACTATACCGTACTATGCTGCTGTACATCTTTGTTATACTATGTGACGTACTGTAGCAGATTATGTTGTACTATGGTACTATATGATACTATGTTGTATCATGTTATAGTCTACCATGGTGTCTTCTAGATTCTAGTATCGTGTAGTACCCCATAATACCACATGTTACAACATACTATATTGCGTTCTATTGTGTGCTATTCTTTTCGGTTGTGTGTTGCATGACGTTCTATTTCATAAGACACACACACATACATGCCTACATACATACATACATACATACATACATACATACATACATGCATGCATACATACATACATACATGCACGCTCCAACTCTGTTAGGACTGCGAACGATCAAACCACGTGATTGGCATGTAAGGGTCCAGGTTTAGAGTTTTAGGGTTAAGGTTGAGGGGTTCGGGGCACAGGGTTCAGGCTTTGGGAGTTTAAGGCCCAGGGTTTCGGGCACGGCTAGAATTTTGGAATCAGCACGTGCTACATGTGCATAGAACCTCAGCCTCAGCTTTGCCGAAACACCACATCAACCTCTGCAAAGCTTAAAACCCGAAGTTAATTTTGCCCGGCGGCAACATCTTTCCGTATTTGGTTGTCTTCGGGATCAAAGTGCCTAGGCCCAAGCACCCACGAGGTCAATGAAAAACTTCCCACGACCATGCCTGTCGTTTCTGTATTGCCTTAGTAGCAACCCATGCATCGCTGTGTTAGCGCCTCTGCGAACAAAACTAACGCTATGGCTGGTTGGGTAGAACGCCTAGTTGTAACTTTTATTGGTTCTTAGATGTGACTTGTCTGCTTTCCCCACAAAACATCTTAATTGTAAGTTTTTCCGTCTTAAACACAACGGATCTCTGCAGGAGGTGGCAACGCACGCATCTTACTTATGACCTTTTGTGGCTCTATTTCGGAGCCTGCCATGCTGGGCCCAAAGGTTCCTGCTTTGTTTACTCCTTAGGGTTTTCGTTTTCGGCCGAAGGTTCCTGCTGGGCCGGTCTTCAGGGTTTTCGTCTTCGGCTTAAAGGTTTCCTGCGGGGTTTACTCCTTAGGGTTGTCGTCTTCGGCCAGTGCATGCAGGGTATACTCCTTAGGGATTTTCGTCTTTCGTAGAAGCTTCGTGCTGGGTTTACTCCTTGCAGTTTTCATCTTCGGCCAAAAGGGGGGAGGGGACTTCCCACTGCTGTGCAGCAAGCCCGGACGCAGGAACAGATTATCTCTAAGAGGAAAAGAAGTTACATCTAGGAAGAATAACAGTGACAGCTACGGCTGCTACCAACTCGTTGCGGTCACTCCCATGCTGCAAAGTAAAGGTCACTGGGCACGTTCATTTGTAGAGCTCGAGTGCTAATCCCTCAAACCTAAACCCAGAATGCAAAGGGTCCGAGGGTTTGTTTCCTAAGGCTCATCTGAAGCATCCGTGTGGTTCTGCGAACTATTCTGAGCTCTTTCGAGGGAAGCTGAAAGATCACCCCACGGACTAGGAGCTTTTGTTTGCAGCATCTTTGGGAACACTGCTGGTGCTGTGTGCATCTTGTTGAGGTTCTGTGGGAGCAGTGATAACGATAAGTCGACCCAGGTGGAAATCCCTGTGTGGTTTTGCTGTGAAGATCTCTTCTGGGCAAGGCATTGGCTTCCGCGGTTGCACGCCAAATACATAAATTTATATCCGCGGATAAGCTATAGGGCCAATACAATCAGCACGCCGGGATGTCAAGTCTGTGCAGCCTTCGGCTAGGTGATCGCAAGATTCATGAGCTTAACCGGGCACCAGAACATGTGGCAACATTATCCTCGCACGAGCAAGAGAAAACTCGACGGCATCATCAGCCCAGGACACAGAGCACCAAGCGGGTCTTGCGTTGTTCGCAAACCTTCAAGGTAATAGTGGGGCTTTAATAATTGGAATAGGGTTTTGTTGTGCTTGCTGCACGGAACCCCGAAATATTTCTAATCGATAGTTGTTTAGGCTTCACTGGGGTTCAGGCTCGAGGGCTTCGACAAAGGTCGCTTGGTAGGAGCACGCTTTTTTGCTGGAAGGCTTTGAGGAATGGTCCGTGCCCCACAGAACAACTCTCCTTAGTGTCTAGCACGGGGAGTATGCAAGAGCTCCGTAAGCTGCTACCGACGGTAGCGATCCGAAGAAACACTGTCGTTCTTGCTTGCTTCTTCGTTCATTTTTTCTTCCGCCCCCTCTGTAAACCGTAGACCTAAACCCTAAAACCCTAAAACCTAAACCCTAAACCCTACACCCCATGTCTCTCTCTCTGTGTCGCGTCCCTGTCTGCTTTCCTGCCGTCCTCCTCTCGTACTCTCTCTTTCTCTCTCTCTCTCTCTCTTTGCAGTGTGGGTGTGTGAGACAGGGGGGGTTAGGGTTTAGGGGTTTAGGGTTTAGGGTTGGAGAGTATGCCACTATGTATGCCGCACATGGAATTTACAGCGCTTGTCATGACACCTCAAGCCTAAAGTACCAAAACATCCCTTCATCATCACTCGTTGAGAAGTTATAGAAGCAAGCATTCGAGTTTCACACAATGGCGGACCCTATACAGAATACATTTTGCAAGGATCGTGACTGTAAGGACACGTAAACAAGGTATGTCTAAGTTTACGAGATACTTGTAAAAACAGATAACTATCCGAACTAAATGAACCCTACATGCTAAGGAAACCTGCATGCTCTGAAACCCGCCCCCCCCCCCCCCCAAAGCCCACCATACTAAGAAGCCCTTGTGCCGCTGGTGTGGGGTCGAGCCAGTACACATGCAGCACTGCGCACGAAGAAGACCTAAACCCGATAAAGGAATACTGCTACGGATCTGTAAACCCTAAACCCTATAATGCCGAGAAAACCTAACCAACACCCTAAACCCTAGACCCTAAAACCCAGAATGCTCAGGAACCCCCGATCCTCCCCACCTCGCTTTGCGAAGTCTTCAGCATGTCCGCTGTCGCGCCGCATGGTATGTACACAACTATAGGTACTAACTGTAGGCTTTAGGCTTTAGGGTTACGGCAACATCCGAAGACTGATTAAGTGGGGTTTAGGCTTTATGGGCAACAAAAGAGGAGAGCTCAACCATCTAAGTTCAAGACTCGTCATCACAGACTGCTTGCAGTTTATCCGCATGGCTTACGGGTTCGTGGCTAGAGTCCGGAGGAGGATTGGGGCTGCAGGGGTTGAAGCTTTGGGGGGTATCTGGCAATTGCGACATAAGCCGAAAAGGACAAAGGAAACATACAAGGGGTCTGAACAAGGAATGCCGGCAGATCATGTTGTTCGGGTATGTCATATAAAACCCAAGTATGCACGATCCTTCTTCTGGCAAGGACCTCTGTTTGACAGGACTGGAAAATAGAAATCTGAGTCATTCACAATACTTACGGGTTACTTCTGGTGTGCACACTGGCACTTCTAGAAGCATGATTGATCCTAGCTGTTACCATCCTTGTGGTGCGGACCAGAAGCCAAGCACCTCAGAACAACCATAAACACCATGGACCTGCCATTAG